CTCTAATCCTGGGTCATTTTCACCACCTGTGGTGTGTGTGTGTGTGTGTGTGTGTGTGACTGTGTTTATGGTGTGGTGTGTGTGTGTGTGTGGTGTTTGTGTGTGTGTATGTGTGTGTGTGGGTTATGCACTTATTAGCAGGTGCAGGTGCATGTTTTTGCTCAGGCCAGAGGCTGACGGTGTATGTCTTTCCTTGATCACGCTCCAGCTTTGTTTTTGAGACAAAGTCTCTCACTGAACCCAAAGCAGGTCAGTCCTTCAGGGTCCACCTTGTACTGACTATGGGTTTGTTGGTTTATTTGTGGGGTTTTTTTGTTGTTTGTTTGTGCGTTTTTTTCTTTCTTCAAATTGACAAGCAGGAGTCATTTGGGAAGAGGAAACCTCAATGAGAAAATGCCCATGCCAGACTGGCCTGTGGTGTGTTTTCCTAACTAGTGATTGATATGGGAGGGCCCAGCCCATGGCGAATGATGTCAACCCTGGGCAGGTGGTCCTGGTGTGTATGATAAAGCAAGCCACCAGGGGCAAGCCAGTAAGTGGGAGGCACACTTGCATAGTCTGTGCATCAGCTCCTGCCTCCCGGTTCCCGCCTTGTTTGGGTTCCTGCCCTGAATTCCCTCAGTGGTGGGCTGTGGTATGAGCTGCAAGCTGAGAGGCCCTCCCCATGTTGCTTCTGGTCATAGCATTTTACCACAGCAATAGAAACCCAAGACATACCTGCCTCTACTCTACCCCAGCAGTGGTCACAGATGTTAGTATTCAGGCGTCTGTACTGGCCTGTCCTTGGGGTTCTGACTGGATACGCCCTCAGCTGCAGCCACTAAGAGCACCACCTGTGCACATTCACTATGTTCCCTTTTAAAAGACCCTGCCCACCTCCCATTCTCTTCTCTCTCTTTCTCTCCCTCTTTGTCTGTCTGTCTGTCTGTCTCTCTCTCTCTCTCTCTCTCTGCCTGTTTTCCTCTCTCTCTGTCTCTTTCCTCTCCACTGCTCCTGTCCCTGGAGGCTGGTCTCCCCCTCCCCCTTTTACGATCCCCTTCCTAATTAAAACAACAACAACAACAACAACAACAACAACAACAAAAACAAAACCCTCCACCTGAACCCTGTTGCATGGCATCTTCCTCCTGCTGCATTTTTAAAATTACAACGACAGACACATTGCCATACCTTGCCTTTTGCATGGGTCCAAGACCCCATGCTTGTGTGTCAGGCACTTCACTGCCTGGGGCAGCTTCCTAGCCTGAATCAAATGTTTGTCTCTACAGATATGCTCATCCTGGACTTTTCATGTTCAGCAAACTCGCTATTAAGGGTTCTGTAAAGTCACTAAGAATAATGAATTAGTAAATCCAGAGCCACGATCCCTGAAGGAACATATGCTTGGGTTACCACAAGACTCCAATCAGAACACTTCCAACAACCAGGCACTACATCACCTGACTTCTGTCTGAAGACTCTTTGGTATTTGCTGAGCCAGTGCGTAGGGGGCTTGAATGAAGCCTCTCTAACATGACATCTCCACAAGGCACACCTCAGCCTCCTGAGCTGAGAACATTAGATACCACCTTCATCCCTCAGCCACTCCAAAGAGTGAAGTCAGCAACAAAAGGTAAAACAAAATCAACAATGCCGGCATCGGATAGGGTGAGAGAGATGGGTGCTGGTAGCTGGCATCGGATAGGGTGAGAGAGATGGGTGCTGGTAGCTGGCATCGGATAGGGTGAGAGAGATGGGTGCTGGTAGGAGCTAAGACAGCATGAAGTGCTTTGCTGGGTTGCCTTCTCAGCCAGGAATGCCCATGTCCAGGGGCTCAGTAATTCTCTACTCTGTGTGCATGTTCTCCAATGACCAGAAAACCAGTTAGTATTGACTTAGGATTACGAGTAAAATAGTAGAAGTAGGTAAGATTTCAACTACATATCCCTTGAATAATAGGATCACAGTAAGTGGCCCAGGGTCCTGGCTTAATTCCCTCAGCACACTGTTTGTGAAATACACTGCCATGAGGTAGTCCTTAGCTCTCTGTTATGGCTCCGTAGCATTTCACTTGCACAGATATGTTTGCTCATATCTGGCAGGTGGATTCTTGGGTTTTGTTAGTTCTTAGGCTGTTACAAACGGCATTGTGTGCAAGTCTCTATGTGGATATGTATCTACAAGCTTGGAGTCTGCTGGGGATTTTATTTGAAAGGGACACTCGTCTGTCATCTTATTGTATAATGTCCTCACGTGGCTTGAGGGAAGAAATTATTGAAAGAGGCAGATGAAATGTTTTAAGCCCAGCTGAGGGCTTGTTTCGTTGGTGATGCTAGTAGAGTTTCTCCCTGAAACATCCGCATCAGTCAGGGCTGGAAGTTGGCTCCCATTTAGGGGCACTGCTGCCCTTGTGGAGGATTAGGCTTTGGGAACCACAACCATAACCACCTGTAACTCCAACTCCAAGGGACTGCATACCTTCTTCTGGCTTCCATGGGCACTTCTCATGCGGCAACCGTGTGTGTGTGTGTGTGTGTGTGTGTGTGTGTGTGTGTGTGTGTGTGTGTGCGCGCGCGCGCGCGTGTGTGCAGGGTCTCTCTCTCCCTCTCCCCCCCTCTCTCCCCCCACATTTAAAAAGTCTGTGTCACTATGGGAACCACCTGGGACTCACTGGCCGATGTCATGAAAAGATAATGAACTATGATTGTTGACCCCTGGTAGTCTTCAACCACACGGACACTGGATCTTCACGGTTATGTACCAGCAAGTCTATCCTGCAGACAAATGTGTCCAGCTGTCTACACATGTACAGATGAACAGACTCTCTCCCCATGCATAGTTACTCAAGTCAGAATCCCATGAGGAGGGTGAAGAGAAGGTTCTGAGCTATCCGGAGGTATGAAGAGGGGTCAGGATGGTGCACACAGGCCCAGCCAAGAGTTCATAGATATGGAAATCCAACCATAATCCTGGAAATTTCCCTCCTAGAAAGGATAACAGAGCCCACATGAAGGATGTAAGATTGCATAATATGAAAAAGCCAGCTTTGCAATGCCATGCAGCTATTTAGGGCAAAGGAAAAATTAAAGACAGGAAAAATAAATACTGAGAGGGTACTGGGCCTCAGCCTCATGCTGAAGGAAGGGAAGCCACCAGAACTGTGGGGAGGTTGGTGCAGTCCCATGCAGGCTCAGGCACGCCTACTTGAGCTCCCAGTCTGACTCCAGGTTCAGCAGCTCCACAGTGAGGGGCGCACCTCACTCAAGCTGAACCTTCACCCCTTTACCTGCCCCTTGGGAGTGAGGCCATGAGCTGGGGTCACTGTGGCACAGCCAAGAACCAGCCCTGGGGCCGTGTGGTCTGGAGGAGGTGAGTCAGGAGCCACTGCAAAACCTGTAGTGGATGAGGTCTGGAGGACAAGAGGGTGGGCAGGCAGGCAGGGGGGACATGAGCTGACTGGAACACACCGGACAGACACTCTCACAAGGCAGAGTACCAGTGCACGGATTTTCCAGTGGTGTGGTGGGCAGAGTTCCAGGATGGGGTAGGAGGGTGCAGGAGTGTGCGTCAGGACCAGACAAGGGATAAGAGGGACACTGTAGGGCTACAAAGAGCTGCGGGGAGCTCAAGAGTCCGATTTCTGATGTCCCCGAATCATTGCTCAGGAAGGGACAGCTCTACTGGCCTCTCACATCACCAGCAGCATGCAGGTTCTACTATAACGCAGACGCCAACATGTTCTGATTGTGTGCCAGAGAACTGGACTAAAGCAAGGTCAGGAGTCTTCCCCCATCAGCACAAGTAAGAATAATACAAATCAGTATTTACGGGCCACACACTGTCGTCGTGCAATGTCTTACTTCACTGTAACTTGTCGGGTGGTGTCACTGTTACTCCTGTTTTGCAAACAGAGACACTAAGAAGGCGTGGCTCACACTTATGAGCCCCACAGCCAGCTTCAGACCTTGGCTCTTTGATCCCCTCACTCAGCACACTACACTGGCTCGCTCTGCCTCCTTCCATGACGCCCAGGAAGGACGGTAGAGCCCATGAGAAGGATCTGAGCTCATGTGACGGATGAAAAAGCCAGCTCTGTAAAACGGCCACGCTGCCACTCAGGGAAGAGGAAGAAGGCAGCATGAAATAATACTGAAAGGGTGGTGGGAAAAGGAAGGGTGGTGGGAAAAGGCGCCTAGGGTGCAGCCCTTGCCAGAAGTCTGGCCCGCTGCTGCATGCCTCCCTCCTCAGTCTGAGGCACACAGCCCACAGTGGTCCACTCCCTCCCGAAAGGAAGGCCACGCTTCTCCCGGCCAGTGCTCGCAACGCTCAAGGCAGGAAGGAGGGTAACCGTTACTAAACTGAATGTAAAAATGTCCCTTTTCTACTTCTAAGTTCCTCCCGCAGCTGCCTCTTCCCTTTAACATAATATTTTTAAGTGACGAGGCTCTGCCAAGCTTAGATGTGAGAAAATGAAAACTGAGATGCACGCACTTCTGAGAGGCAGGCGGGGTGAGTTCCCAGCTGCCTGGCTTCCAACCTGCCCGTGTCAGTAACTTATTCCAATGCAAAATAGTGTTTGCTTACAACACTGCTAAGATTTTAGAGGTTAGACTTACCCAAAGTTACATTTTAAAGCTAATATTTTCCCTAGTCTTACAGAGATGTGAAAAAATACATACCAAGTGTGGTCCTTCAGTGTAATTCTTAAGATACGGACAAATTCCCCTTTGTTTTCTAGTTAAAAATACCGGCATTATTTACTCTTCACAAAAGACTGACAGTACTTGTAATATTTTCCTTACATCTTTAAAAGGCAGAGGTCAATGCTATTTAAGGCAGAAAAGGCAAATTGGCTGCTTTTATGACCTTTAAACAAATTAGTATTGATCTGAAAATTAATTCTAAAGTCCTCTACTACAGGCAAAAAATGGAATCGTCAGGTCCCACCCATGCCAACAGAGAGGGCCGAGCGCTCTCTCTTTCTGGGGTGTCTGCTGCAGAGCAACGCGGTTGCCTCGTACCTCGCTTCTGGATGAAGACCCTAAGCAAGGGGTTTGCACTGGAGACCGCCTTGCAGAAGTTGTCATCGTTGTTGATGGGCAGCAGGTCCCCGTGTACGTCTGCATAGCCAATGGTGACTTCGGTGTTAGAGATGTGGTGAGTGTGCACGACCAGCTGGTAGAAATCTTCAAACTTCCCAGGCTTATGGCGGTCCAAGGAGAACCTTCGGAATTCGGCCCCAAACTACAAGGCAAGAGAAGAGGTAGGTGAGCGTCAGGAAGAGTCCGTGTGAGAAGGTGGTACGGTGTGTTCCTGGAACAATGTGGTAACGAAGCCCCCTTGAGCCACGAGCAGCCACGCACTACTGCCTTGTGACTGAGCAAGTCACATTCTGTGTAAAATGTATAAAGTGTATTTTTAATTTTGGTTTTAAAGTAGTAGACTTTCAGGCAGCCTTTAAAAAAAAATTTTTTTTTTTAAATATCCCCTTTATTTTGATTAATCCTACTCTTCCCTGCTTAACCCTGTCCGCTCACGGAATCTACTTTCAAATCACCCATGTTACACTACCTTCCTTCCTTTAAGCACCCCCCCAATGGCCTCTACAGTAACGCCAAGTAAACTCGACACATTAGAGATCTGAAGTTAGGATCCACTCACAAGGGACAAAATGAAGACCCTATTAGAGCTGTTGGGTGGAGGGGGGCACCAGCTGTGAATCTTCCAAACGACGACGTCAACCTGCCAGGCAGAAATATAACTACTTGTGCCATAGTGGCGCTACTGTTAGGGGGTAACCAACTGCTCTCTGATTAGATTTAATGCCCACAGCCATAGGAGGGGATCCGTGTTGGGTACTGAAACCTGGTCAGAAACCCATCGTCACAGAAACCCATTCCCACAGGGGGAACTGAACACTGCTACTTAGCTAAACCGACAACGAGTTCAACTGTCCACTAAACATTCGTGTCTATACCCGCAAACATTACGGCGAGGCTCTCTTTCCGGTGAATGGCGGCCAAGGAAGTGGCTCGTGGCTGCAGAAGACGAAAGAATTAGTGAATTATGAGTGCTCAGCCCTAGACAAGATAGCTGCACTTCTAATGCAGGGGAGCTCTGTGGAAGATGGGACAGAGGGGCTGTGCTGTGAAACGCCATCTTGGGGCAGGACACCGCTGACATCTCCTGCCTGGCAGTTCACCGCCACTGCTGCCATGAGCTCATGGTGGTTGCAGACACCCGTCCTGGGTCGGCACGGAATGGGCCCTTCAACAGTCAGACAAAGACGAAGGCGGAGCTCGGGACCCCTTACCCCTCGCTGCTTAACTATCTGCCACTGATCGATTCAGGGAGAGGGGGAGCCATTGCCTTCAGCTGTGTAACCAATGGCGACACCATCACACCAGGCTTCGCCATTTCTAAACTTATAATCTAGTGGTCACATCAACAGCCCCAGTTCAAACTAAACGGGTCCCAAGACAAACCCGAAAGCTGTCAATCCTGGAATGGGGCTGTCAGGGAGGAGGGAGAGGCATGGAGGGGATGGGGGAGATGGGGGGGGTCAGAATGCATGACGCACATGTATGAAGTTGTGAAAACAAACTGTTCTTTATGAGGTAAAAAGAAAGGAATGACGAGGAGGAAAGGCTCCATTCCCAAGAGCAGTGGCCCCCTCCACCGCGGGTCGGCGCCAGTGGTGGCACAAATGCAAAGGCCCGGGGCCAGCTTCCTTTCTGCAGACCCTGGCTCCAACCTAGTTGCCCACAGAGCTGCACACTGAGCTTATGCTCACAGCAGAGGACCCCAGCCCACGGCACACGACACACCTCTTGGTGACTGCAAGGAAATGGCCATGGTCAGTCTGGCCTGGTGGTCTTGGCTCAGCGTGGTCTCCAGTATAATGAAGAGGTAAATAAAAGGGCTCTAACGGATATGAAGATTAAATGTTTAATGTTAGACACAAATAGCCACCACACACACACACACACACACACACACCAACCAACCACCTGGGCGTCAGTCATGCCGGGCAATTCAAGTTCCTGAGGTTTGTGTCAAAAATAATCTACAAAGCTCTCAGATTTGGGGATATAGCCCAGGAATGTGTGTTTTTAATAAGTCCTCAGAAGTAACCAATGTTAGTGTCTGGGGCCCACATACAGGGGACCTGTGGCTGAAGGGAATCGGCGTCCAGGGATCTGTAATGGGGGCCCACTTATTGTCCCTTCTTGCAGGTCACCCAGTACGAAGTCAACCTCTTACCAACCTGCACGGCCCAGGATACCTAACAAAGGAACAATTCAAAATGCTGGCTCGGGGGAAGCCACATCCAGTGACGAGTCAGAAGTCTCCTCCCACAGTAAGGGGAAGGCGTGGCCCTTCCACACATTCAAGTAGGGGATGGAGTATGGCCCCATAAATGGCGAGTCACATTTGCAAAGGGCTGTCCGCACTGATATCAGAGGCGCAGATTAGACTCTCTCACCCGCTTCCATTACTCAGGCAAACATATCATGTCTTAGCACGTTGCAAAGCGTGCCTAACAACAGATGGCCTGAGAGGAGCGTGCTGGTCTTCGTCCATCGGGGATGAAAAATCTACTAGCCATAGTCTGAAAGAGACAAAGCCACAGCCCTTGTTCTGTAGGGTCTCTTCCCGACTTAGTCATCCGATCAAACCATAACGTATTTATTTGGACAGTCTCCATGTTTCCCACCTGTGTAGCTGCCTTCTGCAGAACCCGTGAGCACAGCCCTTTCTTCCCAGCGAAGACAGAGAGGGCTGGAATGATGACTAATGCAACCCCAGGAGCGGTATGCTCACGTCCAGGCCTTGTTTGGGTATCCTCAGCAGGATGCATGGCTGGCCACTCACTCACCTGAGGGACACCCTTCCGCGTGCCCTCACAGGGCTCCACTGCAGACTCATGCAGACTCAGCACCCACGGTATGCGTGACATAAAGCGCACACATCACCGCCCGGCTCCTCTAACAGGATTTCGGGCCTCAGTCTCACTTGGCAGCTGATCTGCACGCAGCTCAAAGTTCTTTTCAGTATTAAACAGTTTCCCTAAAACGTGTACCTTCCTATGGTAATTTAGAAAGACGAAAGACTTCTCTTGAGGGGAAAAAGGTCTGGTTTGTGCCTGACCCTGTGACCCGTTCGCCACTCAGAGAGCCCTGTGTTTAATGAGGTCCAGGGTCCTGACAGAGGTGTGAATGTGATAAACCCATTTCATCTAAAAATTTAAAATTCTTACTTTCCACTTGACGTCAGGTTAAGCAAGCAGCCTCCAATCGAAGGAATTGGTAGATGCAACTCAGTGCCATAGAATTCTTGGTAAAGCCGAGGGTTTTTCTACCTTCCCAAAACTGAGAAGGTGCATGGTCCTGGTGACCACATGATAAGTCTTGCACGTCAAGTATTTTCCTACTGTCTACTTTCATCAAACTCAGAAATTGTCCAATCTGAACTCCCAGCAAGCAGGTTACCTGAATGATGCTAATGCTTGACTTACTCCTGGCGCGTGGACCAGAGAGAGGTCCAGGGCTCTTCACTCCCCCGATCACCCAGGAGCCTCATCCCCCTGGCTTTTCTTTCACTTACACAGCGCTTGATTTGTTTATGTAACCAAGCTTGTGCTGGTGTTGACATCCAGGCACTTTTCCTGGTCACCAAGCAATAGATACCTTTCACTGAATGCGGGTTATGTAAGGTACTTATTCTGAATGGCCTACAGTTATTTATCAACATCTGTACCTGTGCTTTGACCATAATTTAATAAACATTGTCATAACTCAATCTGAAACTTTTTGTATGTTTGTTTTTCCAGACAGGGTTTCTCTGTATTGCTTTGGAGCCTGTCCTGGAACCAGCTCTGTAGACCAGGCTGGCCTTGAACTCAGAGATCTGCCTGCCTCTGCCTCCTGAGTGCCGGGATTAAAGGCGTGCGCCACCAACACCTGGCTCAATCTGAAACTTTTAAAGGGCAAATTCTCTAAGTCACATTAGCCACTTTTACTTAAATGGTTTTAATTCTTTTGTAATTTTATGCTTACATATAACTTTTATTTGTGTATGTGTATAACACACCCTGACCACAGCCAGCCTAAGCCTTCACTCCTGGATCACTGTCCCCATGCACACACGAGTGATGATACTCCAAGCAGACACTTTCTTGTTTGCCACATTGTTTGCTTGTTTCTCACAGGGTCTTACTACCTAACCCGGTTTGAACTCAATTCTTCTTTTCCTTCCTTGGCCTGGTGAGAGGTAATTACAGAAGTATGGTACCACGGCTGCCTGCCTCATTTTAGTCATTTATAAAATTCAGGATGATAATTACAGTGCATCTAAAATATGCCTACATACCCCCTCTCACAATGCTCTCTCTCTCTCTCTCTCTCTCTCTCTCTCTCTCTCTCTCTGTGTGTGTGTGTGTGTGTGTGTGTGTGTGACCTAAGCTGGTCGTGATTGAACTCATGTACTTAAATTTTCCTACCCAAGTCTCCTAAGTGATGGGATTACAAGTGTAAACCGGGTGCTCCTGTCTCTGGAGCTCTTCCCACTCTGCAACCTGAAAACACCCCTGAACAACAATTTAGGAGTGATTTTAACAGATTTATAGCCATATTAAAAAAAAATTCAACTTTAACTTATCTAAACTTTTTACTACACAGAGGAATGACAGACAATTGCGCATAAATCAGTAGGACAGGAGAATAGAAGAAAAAATTATTCCAACAGTAATAGATGAAAGAAATCAAAGAGAAGAGGGATTATGTAAACTTTCTGATCATTAAAAAAGATTGTGTTTATTCTATTTTAAAATGTCTATTGGGAATACCAAACCAACCCATTCAGATTTCACTGGCTAGCTTCAACTGGGTGTGGTAATATGCACAAAGGCATGCGCGCACGCACACACACACACACACACACACACTCCCAAAGCGGTTTTGCTGGGCCTAGCTAGGCCAGGAGACAAGTTAGTACATAACATATCAAAGCTCCCCCTTCCCATCAACATCCAGCACTCAACTCAGGCAGCATGCTTTTTCCCTGGAGGAATTAATTCTAGACACATGGGAAGACACATACAAGAGCTGGTGAAGGGCACCTTTCCTGAAGCAAAGTTATGAAGAAAGAAGCAGGTAGCCAGAGTAACCTCCCACAGCAACAGGTCATTCGTATCTTGAGCCATCAACACGTGATACGTGGGACCTCTTCTTATATGTGCAAAC